ACTGTGCTACCTGCAGGTCCCTCCCCATTATTTTTACTAGTTTAAAATAGATAAGTTCTATTACTTTTTAAGAAACTATTTTAATCTATTAATACTGATAACTGTTACAATAAACTATAAAATGCCATAAAGTCAGGATTAAAAAAAAATCTATATTATACATATATAGTTTACATATTTTTATAACAGAATGAATTTCATTTTAAATGTATCTAGATTATTTTCAATATTCTATACTCTGTCTTCTATAAATGGCTCAGTTTAAAAAAAACAGGTATTTTATGTAAATGAGAGAGTACTCTTAAATAATCTTTAGGAAAGATTAAAAATTTTTACAACCTATTACTGTAATAGGAATTTTCAAAATCCTCTAAAATAAAACATGGACTTGTCCTCAGTTATTTCTACTAAAAAATGTATTATAGGATTTGAGCATTAAGGATTAGTGGGCCTATATGTATTAGTGAGTTTTAATGTTCTATAACTTTTTTTTTTTAAGAGAGATTTTTGCTATAGGGTATGCACTTGCCAGAGACACAGAGAGATGGAAAGTGAGAAATCACCCTCCAGGGGAATGGCTATACTGCAATCCCTTCGTCTCCATTCTCCTCTCGGGACTTTGGGTACACGTGCCTGTGTGTCCAGCGTGAGTTTTAAGCTGTTAGGGCCGGGACACAAACTACAGTGGACTACGCGAGAGTTCAGTGATGTAACCATTATACCAATTGTTAGTCCCTGTTCTGTGAGTTTCTTCAAAGTTTATTTATTTACTTATTTTCCCCTAAGTGAGAGAGACAGTGACAGACAGTAGCCCTAGCAGGGTCTCAATGCCATGATCCCCCAGCTCTAGCCAACCCCAGCTCCTGAGCGTGTGTGTGCCTGGTGTATACTCAGGGAAGTCTCTAGACACAAACCTGGGACCTTCCCTTGTAGGTCAACCTGGCAGCATGCCACAGTTTACTGCTGTGCCACTGTCAGACTCCCAAGTTCTTGTTGTTGTTTTAAATAATTATTTTAAATTTTATTTATTTATTTTTTTAATATGCTATAGGGCACATGGGCTCAACAGAGAGAGACAGAAAGAGAAAGAGAGAAGTAAGAAAGCAAGCCACCAGGTCCAGGACTCGAACCATGCTCAGCCACATGGAAGTCCAGTGCCTTAACCATCATGTCACCTGCTGGCTCCCTCCCAACCTGTTTTTAAGCTTATTTATTTGTTGCTTCAAAGGGTGAGAGAGATAAACAGATTGAGAGACACACACAGCAGGTTATTCACTCCACATCCACTCCAGCCTCAGCCAGCCAGGGCACGGATAGGCAAGTGAAGTGGAACCTTCCTGTGTGGTGCCAGAACGCAGAGCACTGCTTTATTGCCCTGCCACCATCTGGCCTGCCCTAACTTTTCTTAGGGAGTTCATATAATCATAACAGACCTTCGCATACAGCTGTTCCCTCCCTAGAATGTTATCTCCAAAGAATACATTTTTCTCTTCTAAGAGAGGGCTACAGGATCGTCAGCGTGCCAAGTGTGCTTGTAACTGTTGGAGCATATGGGTTGGCTGGTAGGCCGAGATGCCTCAGTGGAGTGCTGGCAGCTGCTGCTGGCTGCTGGTTGGGTGCTTCGAGGGGCTGCTTCTGCTTCCTGCAAGTATGGTGGGCGGTTCCAAAGAGCATCCAAATGGGCAAGAGCTGAAAGCTCCTCCCCATGGGTTTAAAATTAGCCCTTCAAAGGCTGATGTTACTTTCCAAACCAAACAAATTTAGCTTCCTTAGTTGCACCCCTGGCTATTATTTCGCTCAGATGAGTGAATCACACTGGGAACAACTTTGAGTCTTCTCAGCACAGTTACATGAATGGTAACAAGACCTCAACAGTAAGTCTTATGTGACAAAGTACATTTCTGAAACAATACAACCAGTCCAGTAATAGCTTTTAGAGGACTCAGGGATGAATCAAATGATCATGTAACTTTATAAACAAGAGCAGACATGAACTGATCAATGTAAAGTGAAGCAACTTTTACCTATAATGGAAGTAAATTTTAAATAGCAATTTGGTGAGGGAGCAGCAGGGGGTGTAGTGGTTAAGGTGCTGGACTCCCACATGGCCAACCATAGTTCAAGTCCCAAACGTGGTGGCTTGCTTTCTCACTTTCTCTCTATCTCTGGTCAAATTTTTTTAAATAATAAAAAATAAAATAAAATTAATTCTCAAAAAAAGCAATTCAGGTGGACATATACAATGATTTAATGATCAGAATCAAATTGGTGAACGTCTTTAGATACTTTAAACGTATCAGGAAACATCTGCATATAAGTACAAAATTCTTTCCTATTTTGTTAATGTTAGTATTTGATTTCTTAGAGGAAAATACGAAAGTACAAACAAGTATCAAATAAGAATGCTATATGAAACAAGAGGCACCAAATTAATTTCCTTAATAAGCACTAAAGTAACATTTATTCCTGTAGTAGAAAAATAGGAAATAGATGTTAAGAAGACTTGAGTGGCAGGGACCTGCAGCTGGCGTCATGGCTATGTCATTGGACTGCCATGTAGTCGACGACAGTTCTAGTCCCAGACCCAGTGGCTCAAACTCTTGCTGGGCGCATGTGCGCACATGCCCAAGATCCCAGGAGGAGAAGGAAATGCAGCGTGGCCATCCCCCGGGGGGTGGGGGAGATTTCTCACTTTCTGTCTCTCTTTCTCTGTCTTTCTGGCAAGCACACACACCCTATAGCAAAAAACCTCTCCAAAAAAAAAAAAACTATGGAAGACAATGACTTGAGTGGCAATATCCTATAATATCCTATGAGTTAAAAGGCAAAACAGTCTTTGTACAAAAGTTGATAACCTCCTATTCCCCATACATGTACTTTTTAAATTTAGAGAACAAGACTGTAGCATTTTTCTTAATACACATTTTAAAAATTGAATAGGTTTCAACACTACACATTTCCTCAGAGAAAAAATTAAAACAGTATGTTAAATGGTAACAGTGTAGCATGTAACCATAGGAAAATATTTAATCTCTTCAAGCCTAAATTTATTTTTCATAAAATAGGCATAGTATCTCAACTTTTTAAGGTTAGTAGGATTAAATGAGATAAGGTATGAAGAAAAAAAATACAGTACTTGTTCAAGTACATAGGGAGTCCAAAATGAAAACCGGCCCTACATTCGAATTTTAGGTAAGACCATTTCTATCAAGATTTACTAACTTCCTTCATTCGAGATTACGTTTTCCTAAATGCTTCATTAAGAAATAAATGAGGTGGGACCAGCAGTTAGCATAATGGCTATGTCGCTGAACTCCCACGTAGTCAACCGCGGTTCGTGTCCTGGACCCGGTGGCTTAAGACTCATGCCAGGTGCATGTGCGTGCATGCCCAAGATCCCGAGAGGAGAATGGAGGAGGAGGGATTGCGGCGTGACCATCCCCCCTGGGGGCTGATTTCTTGCTTTCTGTCTCTCTGTCTCTGTCTGTCTGGGGAGCACATGTCCCCTGTTGCGAAAACCTCCCAAAAAAAAAAAAAAAAAGAAAGAAAGAAAAGAGGTGACTGTTGGTACTATCCCCCCTCAGCACCCACTTCTGTGCACTCTGCCTCTTTGTAGTTTTAGTTTTTCTTCCCGCCCCCCAATTACAAAAGTAACATTTCCTCAATAAGATACAAATAAGCGAAAATCCTCTTTAATCTCACCTAATGGAAACAAGCACTGTTAATGTGGTGGTGTCTCTTTCCACAACATTTTTCCAAGCATATATATTATATGCATAGCTAAAAAATCACTAGCAATCCTAATTTTAGACAATTCTGTTATTTTACTTTTCCTCATATACTCCCTAGGAGACAAGTTAATGAAAGTTCCCTCTGCGGCCTCAAAAGTGACACACTTCAAAGACATCTGTGACTGGGGGTGGGGAGGGTGATTTCTTGCATTCCCTCTCTCTCTGTCTCCTTCTGATGAGTGCCTGCCCTTATGGCAAAAACCAAAACAATCAGTCAGTAAACTGCTTCAGGTATGTGTGTGTGTTTGTTTTTAAAATAGGTTTTTAAAATAGTCAGGACAAATGAAGCTTTCAAACTGCAAAATTATAATGAAGTAAATCAGCATAATTTCTATCAATCCAAAGATATTTTGTATATTTATAAGAAACAGCACTAAGTCCCTCAGGGAAAAACCAGTATTTAGAAATGAAAATGAAGATCAGATCCAAGAATCTGACTAGCTGGAAGGCTGAGGGAGAGGAGGGAGACTGAGGTGTGACAAAACTGTTGCGGATGGCTGTCTCTTTCTCTCTCTCTCTCTCTCTCTCTCTGTCTCAAAAAGAAATGTCAATGAGTAAAGCTTTCTTTCCATACTTGAATAAAATCCAAATCATCTTAGTATTTATTCTGCTTTTAAAGGCTCTCAGCAGAGGAAAACCAAACCTCTCCTCTCTCCTGATAAAGACTATGGTCTCACAGCTCCCAGCTAAGCCGTGCAAATGTATTTACCCACATTACAGTCTGCAGACTTATAGATGGAAAGGAAACACTGGGGCACCTGCATGAAAATTACTTGGCAATCCATAATAAAAACTGTAAGGTTGTTCATTTCTACTTGGAAGATAAGAATGGGGATAAAATGAATTCCCATGTGTTTTCCTTTTTTTTTTTTTTTTTGGAGAGGTTTTCGCTATAGGGCGCGTGCGCTCACCAGACAGACAGAGACAGAAAGACAGAAAGCAAGAAATCACCCCCCAGGGGGGATGGCCACGCCGCAACCCCTTCTCCTCCGTTCTCCTCTCGGGATCTTGGGCATGCGCACACACACGCCCGGCGTGAGTTTTAGACCATCGGGTCCAGGACGCGAACCTCGATTGACTACGTGGGAGTCCAGCGACATAGCCATCATGCTAACTGCTGGTTCCCTGTTTTCCTTTTTTGATATCATAAGTTTCTGAGATGAAGGAAAGCAAGCACAGAAGAGAACAGCTGGAAGCATGGTTGTCATAGCTTTAAGTAAGCAGCCTGTGTACCTGAGAGCCTCATCTAGAGGGTGAGGAAACAGGGTTACAGTATGTCCCTCACAGGGTGCTATAGTATAAAGCTATAAAGCCTAATGAATGCTCAGTATTATGTATGGTCTTAACATCTGGTAAAACCAGGAGGACCCCAAGTGGCGGAACTGCACATTCCCAACCCAACAACTCTCCATATCAAATGAGCCAGGTGCAATTCCTGCTTGTTTCTGAGTTGCAGATTTGCGTCACAAATGCACTGTAAGCCCACGCAATTGTGAAAACAAGCCAATCACAGCTCCAGCGGGCATCTCGCCCTCGTGATATGACAAAGCCTGCCTCCACTGCCCAGTCACTTCCTGTGGCTGCTCCCCCTGTTCCTCAGTGCCACTTCCGTGCAGCTCTGGACCGCATGCACTGTCTGCTTTCTCTGGGTAAATGTGACTGATGAAGCGCCGCCTCTCGCAGCTGTGCTGCACGAGGTGCTGTATGCTCAGCTACCCCCGCAACCCAAGGATGGGAATCAACTCTCACCAGTGAGGTGAACAGGAGGCTATTAAAGTAGGCAATGAGAACACTTTCTGGTAAATACTTCTAAAGCTCTGAAAATAATGTAGTATTATATACTACATATTTGCTATTACTAAAATTACACAATACTGAGTTCATCAAGTACAATGTCAACATTCGAAATGTCTAAACAGTCTCTAACAAGTTAAAGAAACAATGTATGGAATAGACTGGGTTTACAAAACTATTCATTGGTTTATGGTAAGCTCAAAATTCAGTATTTGGCTTAATGAATGATCCAGACATTAAAAATGGTCTCACATCACATAAGTGAGAAACATTGATTAATAAAATGACTGGTTACAGATCCTTTATAATGTTATTTATGCTGTTATATTTTTATTTTCTGGAATTAAAATTTAGATGTAAGAAAACATTAAAAACAAAAGTCATCATCAAATCTGCATTCCTCTGCTTTAGACATAAGAATGAGAATTTAATATTTAACTACCCCCCTTTTCTTCCCCACACAATAACATATTTGGGCAACTGAAATTTTATCCATGCCTTCATAATTGTTGAAGATAAATAATAATCTATAAATATCTATAAAAAACTAAAATATATTATTTATATCTCTTTATAATTATTAAGGAAAACATCCCTCTCTATGACCACACAGTAAGCTATCTGAAACCAAGTGTGATTCCATACACTTGGGGCCAGCAGGTGACATGGTGGTTAATGCACTGGATTCCCACATGGCCGACAACAGTAGAGGCCCTGGATCTAGAGGTTTGCTTTCTCATTCTTCCCCTAGCCCCTCACTGTCTCTCTCTCTCTGGTGAGCACACATGACCTATAGCAAATTAAAAATAATAATAATTAATATAGAATTATTTTATTTAATTTTATTATCATCATTTTTTTTTTCATTGAAGTTGACCAGAGAGAGACAGAGAGAAAGAAAGTGAGAAAGCAAGCTGCCAGGTCCGGGACCTGAACCATGGCCAGCCATGTGAGAATCCAGCCACCTCAACCACCACACCACCTGCTGGTCCAATAAAAATAATTCTTTAAAAAAAGATTCCATACACTTTTTTAATCTTCAAAAATCCTAGAATGTACATGTTAATCAAATAACTGTAAAATTATTTTATATAATAACCCACTTTTTCTATCTTCAGGTCCTAGTAAGTGGCACCTCTAGATGAACAATGTTCCAATTACAAATTTGGTAAGTTACTGAAGTGTATATAAGTATTATTATTTGCTATAGAATGTAAAAGTAGAGTAATACAATTGCAGCTATCTTTTGAATTCAAATTTAGCAGAAAAACTAATTCTCTAATGAAATATTAGTAAAGCCTCAGGCTTCTAAAGAGAAATCCTGGAGAGACTGATAGGATGACTTAAAGGAATATGCTACAGAGCCAACTGCAGAGCCTGCGTCCATTTCCACATCATACATATCTATGTCAACCCATCTGAGGCCTCATTAGCCAGAGATACACACATCATTATTCCCTTGGTGACTTATCCACAGCTATTGTGGACAGCTATGAAACCTAGTATCTTTTTTTTTTTTTTATCTCAATGCATTTTTTTAAAAGAGATTTTTGCAATAGGGTGCGTGTGCTTGCCAGAGAGAAAGAGAAAGCAGGAGATCACTCCCGCCCCTCCCCGGGAGATGGCCACACCACAATCCTTTATCCTTCAGTCTCCTCTTGGGATTTTGGGCACACATGCACATGCGCCTGGTGTAAGTTTGAAGTCGTCAGGTCCAGGACTCAAACTACGGTCAACCATGTGGGAGTAATCATTGTGCCATCAGTTGGTCCCTCTATGCATCTTTATTTTACCATCTTGTTTGAATCTGATCTCTGCACTATGCTTCATTTAAACTCTTGGGTTGCCAGAGAAGTCATGACTTTTTAAAATGTTTTTCTATGAAAGAATGCATTATGAGTTTTCTGACCACCCAATATTTGTAGCATTATTTCAAAATAGTAATAGATTTCTGAATTTTTATAAAAAACACACTAAAAACAAAGGACAATGAGAAGATGCAGACGGTAAAAATAATCTTCTATAATCCTACCACCCAGAAATTAAGACAGTTAATTCTGGAGCCCATCCTTCTGTCTTTATCTTTTTAAAAATAAAAATGAAAAACTTCCTAATGTTTTATTAAAATCCAGTCTTTTCTTCTCTTGTCTAACCTAGTATAGACATCTGTTTCCTTCTATATATAGATCTATAGCCTAAGAACTGCTCAGCATTCCACTGAATGTATGTCACATAATTTAACTAATTTCCTTGTTAACAGTAACCTCAGCGTATGAAGCACTTAATGGCATTTTAAAGATGACAGCTGATTAGACTGGAAACTAGCTCTGTACCGCGATGTAGAGAGGAAACAACTATAAAAAGGAAAAGGACAGAGAGATTACGGCTGGTGGTGTGGTCTTATTCCCTGGTCTCTAACACAGAGCACCCTCACTGACTTTCACTGAAGGCCAGGAGGTCCAGCAGCGAGAATTAAAGGGCTCTGCCTCTTAGGTGGGAATGGAGAGGAGGCAAAGGGGGACAGGTTGCCAGCAGTCTTCTAAATAGGATGCGTGATCTGTAGAACCCAAATTGTAGGACTCAGTTAGGAAAAAATGGCATCATTTGCTGAGCTTTTATTTTTAATCTTGTCATGGCTTCCAGCATTCCAGAGATAATTCTGTTTAAATGACCCATAATTTAGTCAGTATTTTTATTCTTTATGAAAATAAAATTACACCTAGAGCTAAGCAACTCTTTTTTTCTTTGGCACGAGCCCCCAGGCTATTGTAAGCATATTTCTGAGCTTTTCAACTTTTCTACCAATCTGAAGGTAATAATTATCACTCATTAATAAAAGGAAGGAATTGTGCAGCATCTCAAAATACTCGAATTAAAGGGTGCAATGAAAAAAAGGAGATGTGTTCCGCTAGCTTTATCAGCCATGCAGTAACTGACAGGAAATATTCTCATACCTTACTTTTGCCATACTGCTATTTTAGACCATAAAATGCTTTTTTAAATTTCCTTTTTTTTTTTTTTATAAGGCTCAAAGTCAAAAGCTGACTGTCCATTGCCATGGAGACAGTTCTATTTAAGGTACTATATTAGTTCTTTCCTCACAAAAGGAGAGAAAAACGGTCAATAGAAAAGTGCTCCTCTCTATGGTTTCGAATGAAGTTGCTGCATAAGGTTCTGTGCAGCTGATACTAAGGGAATTAGGAAGTGAGGGTGGGGTGGGGTGGGGGAGAAAATTCATAGAATTCATATTTTTTTCTGATTAAGACCAATATAGGTTAAATTTTAAACCAGAGGCAACCGGGGCCAGCAGGTGGTGTAGTGGTTAGGATCCTGGACTCCCACATGGCCAACAGTGGTTTGAGTTCCAAACCCAGCTTGAAACTCATTCCAGGCACATATGTATACATGCCCAAAATTCCAAGAAAAGAATGGAGGAGAAGGGACTGAGGCAAGGCCATCCCCTTGGTGGAAGGGGGTGATCTCTCTTTCTTTGTCTCTCCGGAGAGTGCACGTACCCTCTCTATCAATAGTCTCTCAAAAAATTAATAAATAGAGGCAAAATGAGGAAAATATTCACTCCCTCAAAATTAGATACAACCAAAGGACAAAATTAGTTTCACAGAGTTACCACCCTTGAATGGGATCTGAACTAACTGAGACAATCTTTGCTTTTCAAAGGTAATCTTTATTGCATCTAGGGTCCATGCACAATACGCATGTCTCAGGTTTGTTTTATTTTGTGGGCTTCCTGATTTGGCTTTCTGACACTCTACCTGTGATTAAGGGTAAAAGCTACCACAGGTGAAAAAAGTATATATAGTCACTTATTTAAGAGGCTCAACAATGAAAACAAATGTATCAACACAAAATCTGTCTTTAGGATGCTATCATTTCGCCTTCAATTTAAGAAAAAAAACTGTTCTCCATGAAAGCTTAAAATATCGTTCTTCCTTGAAATAAAAATAATCTAAGCAGGAAAGACCCACCAGAGTCTACCAATGTTGGCACTAAAACACTTATTTTTATGTAAGCAAGCAATTCCCAGGGATATATTCACTTTTTTTCTCTGTTTTAAACAGGCTTCCAAAATCCAATTCTCTTTATTTTCCTTAAGCTAGAGTTCAGACTCTAGAAACAATAAGATACCTTTTTCTTAAGGCTAGAGTGTATTGTACCTGAAAGTCATAAATCTGTATTTTAAAAACAGGCCAGAGGAATTTTTCTGATTCTGGGTTTCTGAAACTGTCATTATCACCTACTAGCAGGGTTTCAGTAGTAATATGAAACAATTTTTTAACTTTTCTTTCTAAACAATTGATAATGTGTGTTGATGAAATGGACATAATCACTTCCCACTTACGGAAGCATTTGGTTAACAATCTTAGATCTGGAACTGAGTATTTACAGTAAAACAATATTTATTGATTGATTGATTGATTGATTGATTGATTAGATTTTTGCCACAGGGCACATGCACTCACCTGAGACAGATGAAAGGAAGTAAAATGAGAAATCGCCCCCCAGGGAGATGGCCACGTGATCATCTCTTCTTCTCCTCCACTCTCCTCTCGAGATTTTGCACACACATCCAAAGTGAATTTTCAAGCTGCTCTATCTGGGACTCAAACCACAGTTGGCTATGTGGAAGTCCAAAGCCTTAACTACCACATCACCTGCTGCCCACACCCCCCCTCCCAAGTTAATTCTTAATAAACATTACTATTCAAGGTTTGGATAACCATGTGAATCCCAATGACATTCAGGAAAATAAACCCGTGATCAGCAGTAAATGGCTTGTGCAGTAAATGGCTTGTGAATTCAACTGCTTTCAAAAAATAAATATCTACTACAAAACAGCAAAGAGGAACTTAAGTACTTGAAAGAAACTTTTCTTAGCAATAACTGTAAACCAATTACACAATACAGATGTTCCAGAAAAGTACTGTTCAAGTTTCTGCGAGTCCAATTTAGGTTTTCCACTGACTTACACCTTTATATGAGAAATCTTTTACCTTGAATTGACTGATTTGGATAGACAGCACATTACATTTTAGCTTTCAGGTGCTCTACAATGTCTGTCAAACAGCTAATTAGCCATAAACACTAAATGCATTAAGCTGACTATAAAAGTAGAATAAAAAGAAATGGCCTTTTACAATAACAATGCACTCCTCTCTTCTTTTATGGTCATGTAACGTGTACCTGTTACTGAAAAACTGATAAACAAGTGAGGAGTTCTAGAGGACAAATTATTTTTATGACATCTGAGTACTCTTTATGAATGGTAACAGAGTGGTTTATTAGATGCAAGAACTACTAAATGCACGCTGCCACCATTGATTCCAATTTTAGCAGCTCTCTAAAATAAAAGGTGGAACACCCCTTGGCCCATTGATAGCCACAGCTTTTTATTCATATTTTAAAAAATAATGCTTTAGTCATTTAAAAAATTATTTTTTATTTTATTTATATTTATATAAATATGACCTATAAGTATATTTATATAAATAATAGGAACGATTAAAGTTAAATGAAGCTATTATGAGGAATGAGTAATTTCTTTAATTTTCAATCGTGTCAAATATGTCCTTCACAATAACACTCTTTTTTTTTTTTAAGAGGTTTTTGCTATAGGGTGAGTGTGCTCGCCAGACAGAGAGAGAGAGAGAAATAAGAAATCATCCCCAAGGGTGGATGGACATGTTGCAATCCCTTCTCAATTCTCCTCTCGGGATCTTGGGCAAGCACGCACACGTGGCCGGTGTGAGTTTTAAGCCACCGGGTCCGGGACGCGAACTGTGGTCGACTACATGGGAGTCCAGCAACATAGCCATTACGCCAACTGCTGGTCCCCTACTATTTTTTTAAGAGAGAGATTTTTGCTATATGGCACGTGTGCTCGCTGGCAAGACGGAGAGAGAGAAAGTGAGAAATCACCCCCTGGGGGGATGACCACACTGCAATCTCTTCTTTTCCATTCTCCTCTGGGGATTTTTGGGCATGCATGCACACACGCTCTGCAGGAGTTTCAGGTTGCCAGGTCCAGGACTCAAACCACAGCTGGCCATGTGGGCGTCCCATGTGGGAGCTTAGCGATATAATCGTTATACCATCTGCTTGGTCCTTCTGCAATACTGCTAATAAAGACCTAATAATTGGTAAAGAAAG